CGAGGTGGTGTCAGCGTTTCCATGACAAACCCCGGAGGAAAAAAATACGAACGCGATCGCCTCCGCGCCGCCGGCCTCTGAGCAGGGAAGAGTCGGGGAGCAGTTTGGGCATCGAGGGGGCCGCCGGGAGGGGGCGGGAGCGGGGGGGTCGATTTTAAACCCCTGGGTGGGGCAGCGGGCCAGTGGTCCTAAGCGCGCCCCCCACCCACCCCAGCCTCCGCCCCAGCCCCCGCTGGTACGGGAGATGCCCTTTCCCGGATGCTCGGAACTTAGCGGTTTCGTTTTCTCGCTAAGGACGACAGCCCAGCTGGAGCGTGGTTTGGGGACGGGGCTGAAGAGGGCTGATTTACATAAAGTCAAGGTTAGGGAAACGGCGTGCCCCCAAGGGTGGGGCGGCAGCCGGGCTTCGCGGGGACGTCTGCAGACAGGGTCTTGGGCACCCCCATCCACTTCGATAAAGGCCGGGTGGGGGGGGCGGGTTTTAAAACTCCAGCTCCCCTATAGAGCTTCTTCCAAATGCTCCCAAGTGCTCACGAGGCGCAGCAGGGTGGGTGCGAGAGGGTCCCCGCACCAAGTCAGCGTCATTCCCTTCCAACCAACTAGAGGAACGCGGAGCGGGCCTGAGGCTTGGCAGGTAAATGTTAAGATGGCGTTGTTTTCCTGTACTGTGTAACGTGAGTGCCCGTTTCCAAGTCTGTGCATTACGGTTGTGTAGCAGTTAATCAAGTGGACGCAAGCTTACAGTGGGGCGCTCACAGACTCGCCTACCCTGTATTAACCGGAGAAACTGGGTTAATACACTCCACTTAGCCACCACCTAGAATGGAGAGCTTGTTCTCCTGTGGGCTGTGGTTTCTGTAATGCAAAGAGAGGGGCGCTGTTGGAGCCACGGATTTTCCTCACAAGGTTACACGAAGTGTTTTTTAAAGTTACAGGAGTGATTGAAGTCCAACAAGAATTGTGCCTTTCTTTCATATCAATAGAAAGTATTATTCTAGAAGACTTTTGTGCCTTATTCTCAAATGATGGATCCCTAGTGATCCAAGCTCTTGAATGCTAACCCAAAAGTTGGCGATTTGAACCCACCCAGACTTGGTGATCTCCAATAAAGATTATACTAAAAAACAAAACAAACCAAAAAGGAAACTGCCATCAAGTTGAATCTAGCGCATAGTGACCCTATATAAGATTTTCAAGGCGGTAAATCTTTACTGGAAGCAGACACAGCCTCATCTTTCTCCCACAGAGCAGCTGGTGGATTTGAACCGACGACATTGCAGTTAGCAGTCTCATGCTTACCTACCCTACCAATCTCAAAAACCCTGTGGGGCAGTTCTCTGTCACATGGGGTGTCTGTGAGTTTGAAAGGACTTATTGGCAAAAAAAGAAATAAAGAAAGGACTTATTGGCACCTAACAAAAACAGCCCGTTATCACTACTGTTAACCCAATAGTGAAATAATGAGTCTTTCAATACCTCTCACAAAGTAGGCATTTGATCAATACTAAATCTGAATGTAGCAGGCCTTGTCTTTTCTCCGTCTTTGAGGCTGAGACAAAACCAGCAGTCCGATTCATGCAGCAAAAGCCACCTCCACCACCTCCCTGCTCTCCCCACCCCCTTGTTTCCCTCCAGCAGTGGCAAGTAGGGAAGTATTGAAGTCAGCAGCCTTGGCTTTGATTACAGAAGACAATCAATTATAGTGCGATATTTATGTAGCCGATTTGTGCGGTATTCATTTGCACTCATTGTGGACGAGCTGCTTGTTACAAACAGCCAAGTTGAACCCGTTCCAATACAAAGTCATTTTCCAGTGATTTCCCATCCCCTGCCCAACCCCACCCCACCACCACCATAGGACATAAGGGATGAAAGCTGCACCCTCCAGGGTAGACCAGTCCTTGCAAGAGGATCAGATGAGCATTTGCCGTAATTCTTGGTCTAGAATGTCAGGCGCTCATGTACTGCCTTGGAAACCCACAGGAGCCGTTCTACTCTGTCTAATAGGGTGGCTGTGGGTCAGAATTGACTAGATGGCAGTGAATTTGGTTGTTGAGTTTGGGGAGTTACAGGGCCAAGGAGGGGCTCAGGGATCTAATTCCTAGTCATTGTCAGTAATTGAATTGTGTGGGATCCTCATCCCTACACCTGGGATGCAATCCCAAGGAAAAGAGGGCTTTCTTTGTTATGTTCACGAGGCCATATCAGTGTTGAGTTTGTCCTAAATCTACTCCCTTCTGGGTGATGCAAGGAACAGCCTCCACAGAAACAAGCTAGCACTATGGGGGAAAGTTCAAGGCCACCTGGAGATTCACCAAGGAAGCAGAGACAAGGACTGTGAGAAAGCCTTGCTTGAGGAGTCCGGGGCACCTGGCCCAAGCCATGGTACTTTCCATTGCCTCATGCATGTGAGAATTGGACATTGAATTAGAAAGACTGAAGAAGAATCAATGCACTTGAATTGTGGTGCTGGAGAAGAATGCATGGGCTGCTAAAGGGACAGACCCGTGTGTGTTGGAAGGCTAGGGCGCTTTTTAGAAGCAAGGATGGTGAAACTTTATCTTATATACTTTGGACATGTTGTCACGAGAGACCATCCTTGGAGAAGGACATCATGTTTGGGAACTTGGAAGGAGGTGGATTGACACAGTGACTTCAACCATGGAGTCAAACATGGGAATAATTGTGAGGATGATGCAGGACCAGGCAGTGTTTAGTTCTGGGTTAGGGTTGGTATGCATCAGAACTCACTTGATGGTGCCTAACAACCACAACAACAAAGCCAACACCTCGAACCACCTTGAACCCAAACTTGTAAACTAATGAACCATGAGAAAATACATTTGTGATCTTTAACACCACTCACTTCTGGTACTTTTTCAACAACAGCACTAAGAAACAAGGGTAGTGGTGGAGGGTTGAGTTGAGTCCATATGGCAGGGAGCATGGTGGGCATGTCCAGCATCCATTTTTGCCTTCCCTCCATCAGGAGTCAGCCTAATCAAAGGTAAGACCCAATATCACCTCTTCCCAGAAGCCTTCGATGATTACTCAGCTGGAAATTGCCCCTGTCTTCTTCTGCACTCTAAGTATTAGGTCTGAACTCCTCTTGGGTCACTTTACCCACTGGGCTGAGCTCCATCTAGAGGACTGACTTGGTTCTCTGTTTCTCTCTGGTACCCAGCCCAGTGAATGGTGCATGATGAAAGCCAAACTCAACTGTTCATGGGGGAGGAAGTGCCCCTAGCGGAAAGAGTGCTTGTCCTTCCAGTAGAGGAAGGGTAGCAGACAGACAGGCTTGATGGAAATGGGGATCCTAGCGTTTCCTGGTCAAAAGTCATACCCTGAGCAGGGTGGACGAAGGGCCCATCAAGCCATCTGTGAGCTTCTCTAATCTTCAATTGTTAGATAACGCAGTCACAGCCCCTTTCTAGCTGACCGACGGGACGGATCCATCTGCCGCCAGTTGTGATTTTGTAACCAATGTCCTTCGCTTTCCCTGCTTTGTAACTTCACTGCATGGTGTGAAGCCTTCAGATACCATGACGACCTCGGGCTGATCTTCTCCTTCATCCAAATGATTCATTTTGTGTACTTGGTCTCATCTCTGTCCTATCGAAGGCTTCAGAGAGGAATTTCTATAAAATACTTGAATGTGGGCTCTTTTTCCCCCTAGGACAAGTCTGACCTGCTACACACAGTCTACAGAGATCTCGCTCACTTGTAGAAGGCTCCATGAAGTTCTCACTGACATGAACGTAATAATCATCTATAATTATCAAGGGTTTACGAGGAGGGGAGGGAGGAACAAAAGAGGAGCTGATCCCAAGGGCTCAAGGAGAAAATGTTTTGAGAATGATGATGACAAACATATGTACAAATGTGTTTGATACAATGGATGTATGGATTGTTACAAGAGCTGTCAGAGCCCCCAATAAAATGATTTATTAGAAAGAGGAGCGTCAGCTAGAAAGAGGAAGACTCTTGGTAAGATGGATTGGCATAGTGGCTGCAAGAAGCACAGCAGTGATTATGAAGATGGGCAGGGCAGGGCAGTGTTCCGTTCTGTGCACAGGGTCACTGTGAGTCAGCGTTGATTTTGAAGGCACCTAACAACAATGTAGGAAAGTGCTATTGATTAAAGAGCTATTTTTGTTTTACTAAACCCATTTTTAAAACAAGAAGATCTTGCTGCCTGAGTCAAGGATGACTCATAGTGACTCCCTGTCACTATGGAAAAGACTGGAAAAGCCCAGTCTAGTTCCCACTGAGCTGCTGGCGGCTTCAAACTACTGACCATGCAGATCGCAGCCCAGCACAAAACCACCCCACCACCAGGACTCCTCCCGTGAAGATAG